ATATATATATATATATATATATATATATATATATACCCGTTTTGTCTGCTCTTAACTTTATACACTTCACTTCGTTCATATAACACTGCCTTTGATTGTGTGACGTGTGTAAGCAGCTTGTATGTCATAACGCTGTTTGCTTTGATATTTTCCAATAGAGCCAAAAACGGAGTGGAGTTCAGTTAGCGTACACTCAGGTGGCTGGACAAACAAAAGAGTACAGTGGAGATGCATTGTTAAGAAATGCCGAGAAAAGCAGTAGCAATTCAATAAATGGATTCGAAAGAAATAGGGAAGTAAGAATTGATGAGGAAAAGAGTAACAAGTCAGCAAATGATCCTGCGTATAGTAACAAGTCAATTTATTCTGAGGAAAGGAGTAGCAAGTTAAAAAATACAGAGGAAGGGAGAAGAAAGTTAATAATTGCCGAATACAACAATGACAACTCATCCGATACAAGAAGCAATGAAGTACTTGAAAACATGCCACTGGTTGGGAAATCGAATGGTTTTAAATTGAGTCGTAAAACTATTTTCATGCGAATAATGAATGTTTCTATGTCAGTCGCCATATGCATTATTGGGATAACATATTACATGTTTACTAAATAAATTAGGGGTATATTGGCGAACAAAATTGTAAAGCAAACCTATGATTTAAGATGTGTAGGCCTATATAAGCTTAATTACATTTGTTAACATGTCTTTTGTTGTATATAGGTGTGTGTATGTGTCCATGTTCTGAAAACTTGATATAATGATAGATGCATGGAGAACAGCTCTACAAAACAAAATCTCTCCAAGAGTATGCAACACTAGAATTTTAACCTGAACTAGAAAATTACCTCATTGACAAAATTGATATTGAAGAAACTGCATTAAAATTCAAACTCAGATATAATACTTACCATTAAACAGTAGAACTTTAAAATTGAATTCTGATAATAATAAGATGAAATGTAAATTATGTAAACTTAATTCTGATGAGGATATCCACCATTATATTTTTAGTTGTCCAGCCGTAAATAACATTCGCATTGACAAAATTTATAATCTAAATAACGATTTAGTCCAGAATGGCAACTATGAAGTGTATAACGAATTCTGTAATGAAGATGAGTATACTAAATTTAATATATTTTGGGATGTTCAACTCTACCAATCAACAGAGAATATGAAGATATTTTTCATAGAAAAAGTACAATAAAAGGGCATGGAAGCGAAATGAATTAACAAATTCCATGCCCTAAAACTATGCCTTTTTTCTCTCTCCCTTCCCTCTCTCTTTTCATTTCCTGTATTCACATTTTTTTCCATTTAGTTAATTTTTTTTAAAGTTTCTACATTGCTATATGATCTGGGGTGTAAATAAACTACAGTATGGAAATGGGTAGGTAAATAAAAAGGATATGCATTTTTGAGGAAGTGGGTGGTAGGCCCTACTGTAAACTGTAAATATAATAAGTAGGCCTATGATTTTTGTAGCTAGTACAGTAATATTGTTTTTGTTAAAAAACAATTTTAATAATAATAATAATAATTAAATAATTTTAATTTTAATAGTATTTTAATAGTGTAAAGTTTCTGTATAATATCATTTCATTTTTCATTTTCATTTATTTATTTGACATCAAACGGTCCAGGGGTTGCATCAGCAACAATGCACCATAACACGAATGTGTCTGCAACCCCTGTACAAACAACAGATTACATGGTTAAAATTCAGATATTTACAAATTCAATAAAAAAGCAATTAAAAGACCAACAATTAGAAAGGTCCTGTAAAATAGATGCGAATAAAATGCAAATGAGGGAGTTGCAATTTATACAAAACTTATGTATTATCAAGTAGGTGTTTTCTTAATTAAAATAAAAATAATTTAAGAGGGTGAACAACAGCATAATCTTTAATTGAAGGGGGAAGTGATGACCAAACAAAAGGAAAATTATGGATTGAAGTATAGTTTAAAGCATCAGTACGCGCAAAATGATGAATAAACGTGAGTGATTCGGTACGACGCGGGTTGACTTGAATGTTATTGTTGGAAACACTGTTACAGGAAGCAACCTTATATAAACATCGAAAAATAAACGAAATTAAAATCATTAATCGTCTATCACGTAAAGATAACCAACCAAGTGTAATTAAGCGTTCGTCATATGATATTCTTATATAGCGCTTCATGCCTTTACAAAACATCTAAGCGCTTCACATTACTACCCCGGTCATTGGATCAAACACATATGGAACACATTGAACATCAAATTAAATTATTAAATTAAATTGTATTATTATTCCATAATATTGCAGCTAGTAATCAGCGCAGTTGTGTTGGAACCTACCAGGTACCCTCTTCTACTCATCATCGTCATCATCATCATCAACAACAACAACATTGCCATCTCCAAATATCACCATAACCATCTCTATCACCACCGTTGCCATCGACATCGATTGCCATGTGCATTACCATCATCATTATTAGCATTATCATTATCATCGTTATTTTCATATCTATATTCAAAAGCGACACAAAAACAATTAAAAAATTAGTACTAATAATTGTAAAATGTCATAAGCAGAAAAGTAAACTGATACATCAATTATCCAAACGCTGGTGCTGTGCTTTAAGTTATCAATTGACGTGAGAGAGCGCAGCTGGAAGGTTATTGTGTTGTGTATAATCGAAAAAGTTGAACAATACTATTTAGTATGTTCACAACATTATTGCGTTTGGCAAGTTATAAGGTTGACAAACCGTCAGCTAGTAACAGCAACGATAGTAGGCTACACTGTAAACGGTATGTATAAAATATATTATATATCTTTTGGATGGGACGGATGGGATGATGCTGTGTGGTGGGGGGGGGGGGCGGATGATGTGTTGTGGTGGAGTTAATTTTAAAGCAGAGACAATAATTTTAAAGCTATAATTACAAAGATAGATACACAAACATTTATAAGGTGATGAGGACCATCATTGTAATACTATGGTTCGATTTACACGTTCTAGCTGTCCTATTGCACAGTACCTCTGTTTCTATGAGCCTCACTAATCAATCATACTACTTTACCTCAGTAACAGAACCACATTATGCTGGCTAACACCTGTGTATGACGCCGATCGTTAATATCAGTAAACAACATCAACAGTCTTGATACGTGTAATGTCTAAAAAATAATGACTAAAAAATACCTACATGAATAAAGTTTGGACTGGTGTTGCCGAGTTAAACACATAATTTGTTTAATTTTCAGTAATCCAATCGCTATTGGGGTCGTGACCGTGGTACGGATTAAGCCAAAAAAGGAAAAAAAACAACAACAACAAAAAACAAAAGACCAATCAATTAACCACTCAATCAAGTTAATCAATCAATTTAATCAAATGTCCAAATTCAGATTGACCATGGTTTGTTAACGCAGTAAGGGGAATTCCCATTTTCTAAGGCGCGTACTACATTCCTATTACTTGTAATTCGGTTCTTGTTACATTAAATCAAAAACTAAAATGATCATGTGTTTATTTTATTTACTGAAATTCATTAATTAGTTTGGCGTTTCGCTCTCACAAAGTAGATTACAACCGATCAAATCATTTGAAATCTTAGTAAAGTAAATTAGTAAGAACTGTTATGTTGATTGAATTAATTAATTCTAGTTAAAATTTTAAAAATTAAACAATAATTTAATGGTTACTTCCAAGTCCATCAACATCGTCAACGTGGAGATTATCGTGATAGGATGGAACTGCAATTTTTAATATTTATTATACGTCTACTGGTGCTGCAATACGTGGCCTCAAGTACTGGTAAGTACCGAACATCCATAATTGGCCTGCTAATAGCCAGGTTCATAACAGTAAAACAAATATTATTTTACTCATTTCCATCTCTATTACCTTATCTTTTTCCCCCTTATCCTGCTTAATGTACATTATTTCCCCAGAAATATTTATTCCCGCATTTGGTTTGGTTGCAAGCGTCAATCGTCGAAGTAACTTCGATGGGAAGCGTATTAAAAGAGATCTCCCTCTATCTTAAACTCCAACGTAAATCACCACAATACTTTTTAAAGAGGGTATATCCAATCAATTTCAAAGGTCTTTTTTTGTGAAATTGAAACATATTAATATATTTTTCTGGTTAGTTTTATTCCAACAAAAAGTGCCGGTAAATCCTGGTTTCGAGAGAACACTAATTTAGACCTATGATAACATATGACATAAGTATTAAATTATTATTATAATGCAGTACCACTGTACCTATTATGTAAACTAGAATGCGAATTAATATTTGAATTATTCAAAACCATATATTAGTTTTAATATGTAACTTGTTATGTGTTGTACCGTTCAGCTCCTGAAATTGGGAATCTACGTTGTTCCAGCACTAACGTAGAAAATTACAGTTGTACGTGGGGAATAGGTGCTAACGATAACCCAAATAATTACAATGTCTCATACGAAGATAGGTAAGAGATAACGAAAATATTTACATTTATAATTTATTTTAGTTTGTTTTATTGTTCTACCACACACTCCATACAGGCCTAAAACATAACTTAATTAAAGGTAGATATTAATTAAATTTTCAAAACAAGAATAAAAGAAAAAAAGATAGTGCGGTAGGAGGCCAAAGTAAGTTTTAAACACATGACCACCAGTTAAAAAAAAATATAATAAATAAAAAGATAAATAAATAAAATGAAGAAATAAAATAAATACGGTAGATACAGTAGCCGTGGATTGGGGAACAAGGTCAATCACCAGAGTTGATTGCATAGAAACTGAAACGGTTGCATAGATTAATAATAATCATATTAAGTGAATAACTACAATAGCATAATTACAGCGAACATTCTTACTATTCCTCTTTGCTACTGCTACTACTCTGCTGTTCCTTAACATAGCTGCTGCTACTTGACTTGAGTCGCGAAGTCTTTATTATTATTATTATTTTAATTACATTTTTTTTTTCTAACACTTCTTTGAATTATGCCTAATCGTTGAAATATTATTTCTAAACCGTTATGGTGTTATTTTTATCTGATTATTTTGTCATATTTATAGGCCGCTATCAAACCTTTATAAATATTTTACTGCCTTTTAGTGTAGATTACTGTTCGCACTGTGCATCATGAACATTTTTTGTAAAGTAAGACTCAGTATATATATATATATATATATCTGTATTTTTATCTGTTTTTTTTTTATAACTTACCGGTATCTGTTTTTGTCACAGCTTTTCATGATGGGCTATGTCGTATCAAATAAATTTCTACTGAGGCAGATCACAACCGTGT